ATAAAAATCACCTAATATTTTGATTTCATGTTCACCATATATTGCTATTTCATTTGACTTTGTTGGAATTTGAGAAAAATCAAAAATTTTCATAGTATTATAAATTCCAGTATCCAGAAATCTAAGACGAAGATTATTTACTAATGCAATAGCAAATTTTTTAAATGCTATTGATAATATATCAGGTTCAATAAGATTCGACATATATTCTCATAAATGATTTTCATAAGTTAGTGAAATATAATCTATATCATTAGGATCATCACCACTGCCAATAAATTCAGTAGTAATTGAATCAATTGCTGCATTTAATTGTATATGCACATCAGATAGTGCAACATAATCCGATTGAAATATTTTTGTTAAATTGCTAAAAGTAAACAAAATATCTGCAAGAAATTTTGTTACTAATATAAATTCTGAATCAATATCTTCACGTAATCTTTGAGCCTGTTATCGTGTTTTATTACATGTGTTGTTAATTGCATCATCATCAAGCATATCAATTATTGAAAAGATGATTTGGTATAAATTTGAAATAGCATTAGAAAGTGAAAGCCATCGAGTATTAACAATACGTAGAACTGATAATTGTGGATCTTCTTGATCTAAAGATTGAAACATCTTTAAATATTGCTACCGTTAATGTGATGAACTAAAATAAGCATATATTTCTTTTAATGTTACTTCATAATCTTTAAAATATGAAACATCTTTAGCTGTATCCTTTTCAGCTAAATTTAGTCTATACGCAATGCAATGACAGTTAGTTATAAATGGATTTACTTGTTGAAGTTTTGCTGATACTCCATTTTTTTTACCTATAATATATAAATAAAGTTAAATAAATTAGCGTATATTATTGATGATTAAAATTACATTTAAAATACAATAATACATACCTAACATTACACTAGCACCATCGTTACTAAAATGCATTAAATCATCTGTATTTAGCATTTTTGCGACAAAAAAATTCTCTAAATTTTTCATAATAGCATTAGCATCTGTATTCAATAACTCAATGAAGTATAGAAATATTTTCCGCCATGTGTTTGCTAACCATTGCATATATTTTATCATGTGTAATAGTATTACTTTTGTCAATTAATAAATTCCAAGATGGTGATTTACGAATCTTATTTAAAACTGATTCTTCAATTACTGTTGCAATAGCATGTAAAAACTCCGCACCCGCTATTGGATTTTTATATGTACTATAATTTGTTTGATTGCTTGGATTATCAGATATAATCAAATCTTTTTTTGGACCAAAAGATGATGGTAAAAGCGTAATTGGAGGTTGATCAAATACTAATTCAGTCTTATTTTTTTCTTGAAGATTTACTAATTCAACTAAATTAGAAAATGCATCAATTGCAAGATGCTTTTTTGCACAGAGATAGATACACTGCATCTTTGCTATAACATCCAACTTATTAACACCTGCTTGAATTGTAAATCCAATTATAAGATCTGTTTGATCTGATGGTCAATCAGTATATCCAAGTGCTACTTTCCAATGTTCTTTAGTAGTTAAATGCATGTTTAAATAATCTTTTTTGAAATTTTTTGTTTCAACAACAAATACACCTTTAGAATTTTTATTATGATTTGTACACCAAATACAATACATTTCCAGTTCATTATTAGAATTAATACGTCGAGCAATCTATGGATATGCTTGTGGCCAATTTGGATTCCAGTCTAGTCGTGTATGTGGCTTATTTTTTTCAGTTGTTTTTTCTTTACATACTTTTTTGGTAGAACTTTTTTTATTCTGTTGTAAAGTTTCTTTC